GCCACGGGGGAGGAGACCGAGGCAACCCGCCGGGAAAGCTTCCTTCCGCCGCCGGTAGTTTCAAGAGAGGGAATAGGGCGCCACACAAGCACGCCCTCTCGACTCATTGCGCTGGAAGAGCCGGCGATGGAGGAAGATGAAGCCGGCATTTATCCTCCGGATTGGAGAAATTTTGCGCCAGGAAACCGCATGCGGATTAGTGACGGATTGGTGCGGCACTAAACTGAGCTCGTGTTAGATTTTAAAAAAAAAAAGAAATAATAATGTAAAAATCATAAGTATTATAATAATATTATATTAAAAAATCGGGGGATTTGCATATAAATACCACTCAATCTTATAAGTTTCATTATTTATATATTTGTTTCTAATAAAAACCACCCAAATAATTAGCACTAAGGCTGTTTGGGATCAATTTTTATTTTTTATTTTTTATTTTTGAAAAAAATTATAAAAATAAATATAAAAATAATATTTGTCTATCTATTTTTTATTTCTTTGAGAAAACATTTTTATTTTTAAAATATTAAAATAGAAAAAATATACTTTTGTCTCTTTTTGAAAACACAAAACAACAATTCTCCTAATCCACTCGCCTCCTGGGGGGATTTGCATATAAATACCACTCAATCTTATAAATTTCATTATTTATATATTTGTTTCTAATAAAAACCACCCAAATAATTAGCACTAAGGCTGTTTGGGGTCAATTTTTATTTTTTCATTACTGAGTTTTGGTTTTATACTTGTTTTCTTTTTGATGGCTCAACTATTTTGTATTATCCTTAATTAATACATTCCCTCTATGAGATCTTCCTTCTTTGTTTTTGAGTCTGTTTGGCTCAGTCTTTAAATATATTACACTTGATTGTTCCTTCAGAAATTTAAGGGCTGTTTGGGATCAATTTTTATTTTTTATTTTTTATTTTTGAAAAAAATTATAAAAATAAATATAAAAATAATATTTGTCTATCTATTTTTTATTTTTTTGAGACATTTTTATTTTTAAAATACTAAAAATAGAAAAAATATGTTTTTGTCTCTTTTTGAAAACACAAAACAACAATTCTCCTAATCCACTCGCCTCCTGCCGGCCACCTCCCGTGGTTCCCTCCCCCTCACCGTTGTCACTGCAGCCGGACTCTAGTCGCCGCCCCCGTCGGCACTACTGCAATTGTCCGCCCTCCGCTTGTCACCAGTCTCCACTGCCACCCCCGCCGACCCTCACCGGCCCACCACCAGCCTCCATAAAAACAAAGATAAAATATATTAGACTGAACACAAAACCCAAAATAAAAAACAGAATGTATTCCCAAACAAATCCTAAACTTGAGTTTTCTTTTATTTACTGCTTTAATCCCAAAAAAAAAATTGAGGTATGAGTTATAAGTTCGTCTAATATTTTAAATAGAATATAATTTAGTTGGAAGTAATCTCAACAAATATAAATACATATGTTTATGTTATGAAAGATACTAAAATTACAAATGAAAAAAACTGCATTATGCAGAAGTTTATAATACAAAAACTTTCTTTTGCTACGTTATTTAGATAAAAGACAAATATAACATGGTTCCCTTCTCCCAGCCGAACTTAGGCAATGGCGTCGGCGTTGGGGTCGAGCTCCACTAGGACGAGCTCTTCCCTACAAGAATCGAGTCGCCGGAGCGGATAATCACCCTCCCCACCAAACTACAGCCAAAGCCCGATTTTTCTCTCGCGAAACACGACGGACCAATTCTAGGAGATGAACTTGGGCATCCTGACAGCACTTCAGATCAAACCGGTTGAAGAACCAATTTACAGTTGTGAAGCCAAAACCAATGAGAATGATTGAGAACTGCCAAAATTCAAGTCCAATGTTCCACCAGAGATGTGACAATTATAGAGAGCTGCAGTCCCAGAAAGCTGAGCTATAGTGATGGAACAGAAATCCCATGGAATGCTGCAGGATTTAAACACTGGTATGGCATTATAGTTGCCTGCTGGTGAAGATGGTTGTGTGGACAGACAAATACGTGATTTTAATATTTTTACTGTTTTCCAGATGACAATGCTTCGGTGGATGAGTGGCTTTCCACTTAGAGACAAAATACGAAACGACTCTATTCATGAAAGGGTTGGTGTAGCATCAAGGGCAAATAAGATTAGAGAGACTGGTCTTAAATGGTTTGGAAATGTTAAACGTCGACCATCTGATGATCCGATTAAGAAGACAGATGTTTTAGGTTCAATATATGTTAAGAAAGTTGACCTAAAAAGACTTGGGCATATCATATAAAACATGACCTTAACCTATTAGAATTAAATGAACGTACGATACTTAATAGAAGGCAATGGGATCAATATAAAATTCAAACATATGAGTTCAAAAACTGAAGCAGCTACACATCAATAATTTGTGTTTAATTTTTTGACCAATTTCATATATTTATAACACTGAATTCTTCATTAACTAAAAGAACTTTATAATTATATAACATGTTTATGTTGCGCTTACAAGTAAAATCATATAAAACTATATCAGTTTTGAAAGTAAATCTCATGAAATAGTCCTTTGCAAGTTTTCAAGTATATGGTTCTCAGTCATATAAATCTAGGTATTCATGATAAAAAAAAATGGAAAAATAAAGGAAGCATAAATAACAATGAAGGCACCTTTTCATAAGACTAACCTTGATGATGACTGCCACATTAAACATAGAAAGAAAACAAAACATGATTTTGCTATTGGATGAACTTAAGATCATACAATATCATAAGAGAATAAGATAATTTCAGTATAATTAATTACAAAACAATGACCATAAGAAAAAATCAAACCATCAAAATTTCTATATTACAACAACAACAACATGTCTTTATCCCACTAAGTGGGATGAAATTTCTATATTGATGCCACAAAAAAAAAAAAAAACATATTTCAAAATATCATCATAGCCAGTGTCATTGCTCATAATTGCCAACAAAGTCTATGCCCAACATCACCTAACGTCAACAGCAATACCGTCGCTTATCATCACCACCAGTTGAAAGCCATCATTCCATTGTCTTCAGTAACAAGTCACTATTCAAACATCTTTATCAAAGCCGACAGGCCCTTGTTCTCAAGTATCTCATTGTATAGGAATGATTGAGCATATTACTAACAATCACTTCTCCAACGCTTCCAGACATATCCTAATTCCACCATAGAAATCATTTTCATAGTTCAAATCTATCACATCAAATATATTACATCTCCAATTACTAGAAAGAACATTTTTTGTAGTTTAAAACTTGCATTAACAAAACAACGTTAACAGGGCAGTGCCCCAAAACTTTTCCCCCTTTTTAGTTTCTCACATAAGAAATTCTATATCTCCATGAGTTGCTTTCAACTTATCTTTAGCATATGTGCATTATTTTTTTTTCAAAATTAAAATAATAAATTCTATCTTCAACAGAAATAAATATTTTAGCACATAACACACAATATGACAATTATAATGGATGATTGCCAATTTATAACCCAAAGAAATATCTGATCAATAACTTTGATGGTGTCATCTTTAGTGCATGATTGATGACCAACTATCAGCGTCTCTACCGTAGATCCATTATACATTCAAATTATTTTCAAATATAATACGATAACTTGGAACTATGAAGTATGTTAATTTATGTCATTTGATAGATATAGATCAAGAAAAAGCTTAAAAGTTTGAAAACTTTTCAACATCCATCTCCAAATAAACAAATGCAAGATATTGCATACAAGGAATATAGAGGAAGTCCAATTGAGACAAATACACAAGAAATGCTTTCAACAATTTGAAGGAAAAAAAAAATAGTGCAGTCGAGTCATCCAATAATATTTATAATGTGACTTGTTGCCATTCCAAAACTCATTCCTATCTTACGAAGTGGGATTTTTAGGAGTGGCACTAATTGACAAACAAAAACATACTTACAAACAAGCATTTGTAACATGTCAACATGCTCTCCATAAATGCCTGACTTGCTCAGCTCCATACCCGCTGCTTGCATGTAAAGAGAACGAAGAATGTTATAGCATAATAAAAGACGATAGGGCGTTGGAGTCATCTAATGGCATACGGTGATGGATGAGCAAGGGCGAATAATCTATGATTGATGAAGACAATTAAGCAAAGTTGGATGTCCTCATTGATCTATTACAGATAACGATTGGTGATGGACATTGACTTCTTTAGCTTTGATCAAAGATAAGCATCAGCGAAGATTGAAGATAAATGTCTGGTGCTAATAGGAAATGGCTTGGCATTTTCAAAGTCTCGTGACCTTCACTAAAAATTCTCAAAAAATTTATGAAAATTAGACATATTTTAATCTTTGGACGGATGTTACAACTTTTAAGCCATGATTCCGGACACTTCATCAGACCTAGAGAGATCACTCTTGTTCATTTTGTGATTTTTAAACATCATAGTTCTTTAATGATATCAAAATTGAGTAATATTATAATTGTTACATTTGTTTCGCGAATATGTTTCCTGGACTAACGACAGATCACAAGAAAATTCTCCCCCAAATGGTCTCGAGGAATTTCGTATAAAACTTCTAAGCGTTTAATTTAGGTCCATTCATAGTAAGTTCAAAATGTTCTTCACACCATTAAATTTAGTTTATTGAACTACACAATTCAGAATACTTGTTCAAAATAAAACTTGATGATCGCGATAAATTCATTTCAGCTGAAATATTATTAGGAGTTTGTATAGAATATCTTAATACCATTCTTTTCCTCAAAATGGTGACTTGGGCAACTAATCACTACGGCATGACAACACTCAAGCCAAAAAAAAAAAAAAACATGCCAAGAATTGTGATTTTTTCACCTTTAAAAATTAACTTTTGTAAAATATAAAAATTTATAATTATTAAAAAAAAAGCAAATACACCTCATATAATAATGTTTATAGATAAAGTGCATTAAACTTTCGTTAAGGGAAAAAAAGTCTAC